CAAATAATGGTGCTATTGTGCGCCATTTTTGCTGTATTTAATTACAGAGAAGCACACGAACAAAGAAGCAATCTCAGAGTTTTAGTAGTATATAGATAGATTAACAATACTACTAATAATGAATCATCAATTATAATTTAGCATGAAAGACTCACTAACTAACTGTTATTTATAGGATGTAAGTTTTATAAGCAGTGGCTTAATATTATCTTTATTACTCCTAAATCCTAAAACTAATTTTATCAAATTGATTTAGGTTACCTGAAATATCATTGTTACTTAAATATTTTATGCTACAATCTTACTGTTAACATGTTTAAAATTAAACTGAAATGTTAGGCTCTTAAACAGAAACTTGGCAAAAAAAAAAAAGTTAAATAAAAATTAAAAAGACCAAAATCATGTTTAACACATTAACTTAGGTGATAAAATACACACAGCAAAAACAACATAAATACTTCAGACTATCTCAGTAGTATTGGTAATATGATTAATTATATCTGTATTTTTATGAACTCTTTAATTACAGGTTTTTCATAACCTTAAGCTATTATATTAATATGACGAAACAAAGTGTTTAAAATTGTTTTTAAAACCTTATTCTTAACTATTTTAAGTTGATGCATTATTAAAAGTTTAAATTATAATTACTTTATTAATATTTTTCTGGTCTCTGCTGTATTGTTTCAATAACGTTTGTTGAATAGTTCCTACTTGGAATTGCTCTGTACAATGTGAATGTTGCAGGAACACTGAATTTTTCAACTTTTGGGTCCAGCCACTCCAAGTCCAATATAAATTCAGACTTAACTAGTACAAACAGCAAACTTGAAGCTGAAATAGTACTAGTTTAGCGACACGTGCAAGTTCGTAACTCGTCTTCAGATACACTCATACAATTCAACTTCAAAAAGTTCATGATGTGATAGGCCTAAAAATAGTAGCACTACAACAGTACAAGTAACAATTTGTATAATATGTACTAGAATAAATTATTTTTACACATTTTCTTAATTTCTCAGTTATGTACTTTTTCTCTGAAGTAAGTTGTCATTATTGCAAAAATATGTCGAAATCGGACCGAAATATCAAGAAACGTTACACGTCAGATTATTGTTGCTGTGTAACATTACTGGCTCAAACATGTCCTTGTGACCAGCGAGTCGTTATTCAGCACTACACGTGCTTAACTTCTAAGGTAAAATTTAGAACTGATAAGTTTGCATTATGAAAGTGAAATCAGTCAATACATTTATATATTTGTTATTAATAATAAAAAAAAATCCTAAACTGATTGCACCATGACTTATAAAAAAAAAAAGATGTAAGCAAAAGTTGAAACTGAAATACACAGTATTATTTTATAACCTCTAACTAAATTAAAGCTAACTTTATAGATCCGAATAAAAAAGTAACTTATGAACAAATTATATTAAAATTGATTTAACAAACTCATTTGAAATATTAGTACGTAAAGTCATATGTCAAAGCAAAAAAAAAAAAAAAAATATTCCTCGCTTGGCTCAACATAAGTCTCAGGGCTTATCCCGCTAATAATTGGGTTTCGATACCCGAGGTGGGAACATTACAGATAGTCTTTTGCATAGGCGTTCACAGGGGGAAAAGGGTCACTTCCCCCTGGAAAAGTTTGCCCCTCCCTGTTATAATTTGTGCATTTGTCCATGGTCTTTTGTATAACTTTGTGCTTACAAACAAACAGACGATTCATCATTGTTACTAACAATAATTTCAGCCGTAAACCTGATATCTTGTGAGATGCGGATAACAGATACAAGTTAGTCCTAACTCCTTAACGAAACTAACAATGCAAAGTCATATTCACAAGCACAAAAGTTAAAATATGGGTTTTTATGGTTAAGTCAGCGTTTCCACAATTCAGGAATGACCATCTAATCGCTAACACAACTGTTTTTAATCGAATAACAGGACTGACACCACCTTACAATACTCAGCCGGACAAGCTAGCCCTCTATTAATACACAACTAATGATATTAAAAAGATGTAGAATGATCAAAATAAATGAATATTTAGTATAAACATTATTTTCCAAGTTAATTTTTCCACTTGAATAAATTGTGTTTCTCCTACAAACATAAACAGGGTGGATCAGATACTATACATTTGGTAATAAAGAAATTATTACGGAGATAATTATTGAAATTACTTTAATTACTGATTATTTCAAAACGATAGTAAGAAATTAAACTATGATCTAAATGAAACAACTATATGGTCACCTTTTCCCCGCCATGTTATTTGTATAATTTACCAGTTGTATTTGAATTTATGAGAAACTGGATCCTAGCTCACTTTGACAATATACCAGAAATAAATTGAGAAAGCTATATGTGGTAATGTACAAAATCACGAATTTCTTTAACCGACCACTGAGAAAGATAGTTTTTATGTTGTTGTTTTTACTATTTTAATAAACGGACAACATTAGTTATATATATATATAAGATAGAATCTGTGTTGTTATATCCAATACAAAGCACTTACGCCAGCCTTTAACTTGCGTTTCAAATTGAAGTAAAAAGTGTGTAGTTAGAATGCAAAATAATATAGAAAATGCTTTAGAAAAATCGGTGCTTAGAGACTGAAGGATTTTGGAAATCGGTGAGTGCTCATTCTCGATGTACAGAAACAATATCTTATAGTGCCAATCTTCATCAGGATCTTGTCGGCGAGTAACCACTAATGATGTACATAAACAGTGTCTTAATGTGTCAACCTTCATTGGGATCTTTGGAGTATCTATTCACTATGTACAGAAACAATCTTGAAGTACCAATCTTCATCGGGATCTTGTCAGTGAGTAACCACTGATGATGTGCCAATCTTCATCAGGATCTTGTCAGCGAGTAACCACTGATGATGTGTCGACCTTCATCAGGATCTTGGGAGTACCCATTCACGATGTACAGAAACAATCTTGAAGTGCCAATCTTCATCAGGATCTTGTCAGCGAGTAACCACTGATGATGTGTCAACCTTCATCAGGATCTTGTCAGTGAGTAACCATTAATGATGTGTCAACCTTCACCAGGATCTTGGGAGTACCCATTCACGATGTACAGAAACAATCTTGAAGTGTCAGTCTTCATTTGGATCTTGTCAGCGAGTAACCACTGATGATGTGTCAACCTTCATCAGGATCTTGGGAGTACCCATTCACGATGTACAGAAATAATCTTGAAGTGCCAATCTTCATCAGGATCTTGTAAGCGAGTAACCACTGATGATGTGTCAACCTTCATCGGGATCTTGGGAGTACCCATTCACGATGTACAGAAACAATCTTGAAGTGCCAATCTTCATTTGGATCTTGTCAGCGAGTAACCACTGATGATGTGTCAACCTACATCAGGATCTTGGGAGTACCCATTCACGATGTACAGAAACAATCTTGAAGTGCTAATCTTCATCAGGATCTTGTCAGTGAGTAACCATTAATAATGTGTCAACCTTCATCAGGATCTTGACAAATGTAGCTTGACCAAAACTTTTTTTTTTCTTACAGTTACTTGTATCATTTTTGTGATTAAACCTATGATAAGTTATTTTTGGAACTACCGGTATGTGGCTGACAATTACTTCTGTCATATTCAGCGATCCTTGAGGAAATGAGACGCTAGATGGTGTTTTAAAGTATTTCCAATCAACACTCTGAATAATAATAATAAAAAGATCAACAGAAGGTTTCTATAATTTCCCCCAATGCATGTAACAACATGGAAAAGTTGGTTTACTTTGATGATCATCATGTTTCCCAACACAAACAGCTCTGCTTCTTTGTTTTAGTGCAAAGTTACACAATAGGCTATATCCGCTGCAGGATTCCAACCACAAAATTTAATTAAAGCTTCTCCACTTTACCACCAGGGGACAACAGTTTTCATATTATTAGTAAAAAAAATTATGCAATTATGTGCTCCAAAACTGGAAAATATATGTGGCGTCCTGAAATGCTAGGTTTATGTATTTGTTTTGTTGTTAAGCTCAAAGCTATACAATAAGCTATTTGTGCTGTGCCCATCATAGGAATCGAAACCTAATTTTTTGGCATTACAAGTTACGGAGGGGCTTAACACTAATAAGAAGGAACTTATTGGAGGTTCTCGTGTAATTATTCCTCTCGGATCACGTGACCAAATGGTCCTTTATCTATTATCAAAACCATGTCTTGCACCTATAAAAAATAAAGTAACTTTCAATCTCACCAACAAGTATTTGTGAATAATAATCGTTTTACTTAAATCTGTTTAGGAAAAACAAATCTATGAATAAGTTTACAAATGTTTTTAATATCTCTGTCAATTCGTTTCTAGATAATCTATGAGTAAAAATAAATCTTTGGTCACAGGTGTTTCTTTGTAAGAAAATTAACTTTATAGAATAGTTCGTTTATACATTATTAAACTTCAAATTTAATTTTGTAAACTTTCGTTTTGAAAAACACTATTTATTTTATCTATTCAATTGGTAGATTAGGACATTCAGTGATGGCCTTTCTTACTTACCAATTCACAATTTCTTTTCCCCCACTGGTCAAATGTTATTTTCCTTTTTTTCTACTCCAAATAATGTTTGTCTTGAATGTTTAAAAGCATTTACAAACATTAAGCAAATTCTTTTTATTTGTCAAACATGATAGTCTACAAAATATTTTAAGAAAAGTTCACAAGCTGATGAACACGTTTCACTTATAAACGAGACAGTTTATGAAGGTTCAAATAAGTTTATTTTTACACTCTTCACAGAAATATCAAAATTACCAAGAAGCTCGTATTGAAGTCAGTGAAAGGTAGTTGTTTTAATAATTTCTTGTGATGTGAATTGGTGCAAATTTAAAAGTCACTTGATTATTGTTATTACCCAAAGACACGAGATATTATGAGACTTGTGAACCTCCTTTAAGGCGATAGCTTATTCTTACATAACCTTTTTTTAATTAAAATAAAACACATTAAAGACATAACACAGATAAACGTTTGTTTTCGTTCCAATATTCCTAAAAAGCTACATTACAAGAGCCATCCCAATTTTTTAACTGACACACTAGACATTAAGTCAACAACACTCACTCTTAGAGGATTCACAGTCTGACATGCCAGCACTAGGCCACACCCAGGCCATGCTTAAAGGTAAAAAATATAAAACAGTAATATAAGTGGACGACTTCTAGAGTTTATGAATAACAGTTTTTCTGAAGGCTTTTACTAAATGAAATACATTAAAAAGAAAATAATCCTGTTTAAAAAATAAACATGCTTCAATAAATTGTACAAAATACACAATTTTGGATGACACCTTTGAAAAAAAAAAAAAAATTCTATCAAATTTCATCATACATAACATTCAAGTACGCCTTAATTTCCAAACGTGGGCTGTACGAGAAGAAAAAAGGAAACTACTAACATATTACAAGTAGCTATCAGACCACTATAACAGGCATACAAAACAAATATACACTTATAAATACTATATAACGTAAACAGTTTTCGTAAACAGTTTTCGGGACATTCAATCACCTCCCACTTCATTAGTCATTACTTCTTGACACTGATGTAGATTTATGTACGAAACTATTAAATAAATTACATAGCAACAACCACGTCCATGTTGAAATATAAAGCAACAAGGCCCAACATTTTGATTCTGTCAAGTTCATCCCATATATATTTGAACAAGAAATCACAGAAGGAAACAAAACATTTTTCTGGGTCATTTATTGAAAAATTACGACCAAAATATTTGAGACTGCACTTTGACGTAAAATAATTAATATTTTTGGCAATGGGAGGTTGTATGATTTTCATATACAGATAAATAGGCACAAGTAAACAAATTTCAAACACCAGAAAAAATAGTTTTTCTTGACATTTCTTTAAAGGATCTGTCTCCTGAATGATACAGATCACAAAACCGTCTTGAGAACAAAATTACTGGATATTTTAGAATTGATCCAAAATATTTTCCAATTTTAAAAACCTTAATATGTTATTATTCATACTGATAATTCACTCTATTCTACCTTCCCTTCCCAAACATCCACACGTTGTTTGGCTGCTTTTCTCTTCCTTTCTATTAAAACAAAAATAATAAAAGCTTTAGAACAAAGTAGTAATGAGAGGTAATGATTTTTCTAAGTAATATTTAAATATACAAAAATAAAATATTCAGATACTGTTCGCTAGGCTTGTATCTAAGCGGTACTACAGTATTCTGTGCTCTAAGGTAGGGTTTCCTAAACTGGGTGCTTTTACTGTACTCATTCTACAGATTTGGGTAGGGGCCTCTGTCTAGATGTGGGTTGTTATTGGGGAAGGGGGGGGGGCCTTCATGCTGAGAAACATGGCATTCAAATATGTATATGAAATAATGATAAATCACACAAACATAGATACTATCATTTTGTTAGTTACTTTACTTCTAAATCCTTACTAACCTACATATGGGCAACAAGAAGATAAATTTTACTGGCATATCACAGCTTAACCTGACACACTGACCACTAGGCTATGTCCAGTCCACAAGAAGATAAATTTTACTGGCATATCACAGCTTAACCTGGCACACTGACCACTAGGCTATGTCCAATCCACAAGAAGATAAATTTTACTGGCATATCACAGCTTAACCTCACATACTCACCACTAGGCTATGCCAAGATCAACAGTAAGTTAAGGAAAATTTTACTGCCATATCATAGCTCAACCTGGCAAACTGATCACTAAGATATGCCCAGACCAATAGTAAGATAAGAGACACTTTACTGAAGGGTCACTATAATATTACTCTTTTGATTAACACAGTAAATAATTATCATTTTTATACCTTTGGCTTCTTGTAACTTGGCCTTTTCAAGTTTTTGTTGTTCTCTCGAGACTTGGACCTTCAAACCCAAGGCACCGGACACAAGACGACGAGCTAGAGCAGCTGACGTAGCTGGTCGTGGTTTTGGGGGTTGCAAGAACTCTGAAAGACAAATCCGTTTCTTTAAGTTTTTCAGTTTGTATAACATTCTTTGAAACATACACACAAAGGCAAGTCTTCATTTGTTCAAATCTAGATGGCGTTGCCAGGTGATAAACAGCATATAAATTTATATAAAAAAAGATTGCAGAAATGTAGAAGCCATTTAAACACCGTTATACTAGTCAGAAATGCTCCATTTTACACTAATCGGAAATGCTTTGTTTTATTAAACAATGCGTCTATTTATAACAGTGTTTACTGCCTTATTATTATTATTGATTATAGTTTTACTAGCTGCTACACAAGAAATGGCTAAGAATATCTTACCGAAACCTGGATAATAATAATTAATGCAGTATTGAATTCATCATAGTGTAGTTTTAAAGTTAATTCAAGGACCTTCAATTTTTTGCCCAGAAGAAATTTTCCCAATTGAAAAAAATCTGCGCATTTATTGAAAAATAATTTCTGCAACTTATACCACATTAATTGGAAACTACCATGTTGAGGAGTCATCATTTCTCGAGTTCGCTGTTCTTCTTTGTTTCTCAAGTTCGTTGCATTACTTTGTCTCTGTGGTTTTCTGTGACTATTTCACTACAGTAATCGTCTTCTGTTAGAAAACTCACCTAGATTTCTCAACTCTTGTGAACGGTGAGTTTTCTAACAGAAGACGATTACTGTAGTAGATTTCTCTACTCTTGTGAACGGTGAGTTTTCTAACAGAAGACAATTACTGTAGTAGATTACTCTTGTGAACGGTGAGTTTTCTAACAGAAGACGATTACTGTAGTAGATTTCTCTACTCTTGTGAACGGTGAGTTTT